CAGCTGTACGTACACACCTTTTAATTGTTAGCAGAGTCTCTTAAAACAACCTTGCTGGTTTTTTTTTCTTTTTATGCCGAGTCAGGAAGACTCCGGTAAGCAAGCCACGTGAATCTCGGCTTGTTGATAGCAAAACAGAGCACAACTGAGAAAATGCTGCTACCAAAATTCTGTGCTTCTCTCCGTTCTTCTGTTTCTAAAATTCCTTTAAAGCTTTTGTCATTCTGCGTGGAAATTCATGATCCCACTCCTGATCACCATTTTGTCAAGGGAAGCTTTTTCTTTTGCTAACCGCTTTGGTTTATCCCCCGCCAGTCGCCTGGGCTCTGCCGCGCCAGCCTGGTTCTGCCCTCAGTTCTGAAAAAGCTGACTCTGTTATTACACACCTCTTAGAGGTAATGGCTGTTATGGGTATACCTAAAACAATAAAAACTGACAATGGTCCAGCATATGTCTCCAGTAAATTGGAACAATTCTTCAAATATTATAATATAAAACATGTAACTGGTATACCTTACAATCCCACAGGACAAGCAATAATTGAAAGGTCTAACCGAACCTTAAAAGAGATGCTTCATAAACAGCCAGGGAAAACAAAGACACCTAGACACAGGTTACACAATGCTTTACTAACGTTGAATTTTCTTAATGCTGATGAAAAAGGACAAACTGCAGCAGAAAGACACTGGACTACAGAGAAGACTTCTGAACTGAACCAACCGGTGTATTTTAAGGATGTTATGACCTCAGTCTGGAAACCAGGATATGTGTTACGTTGGGGAAGGGGTTATGCTTTTGTTTCCACAGGAGAAGAAAAGGTTTGGGTTCCATCAAAATTAATTAAAATTCGATCAGAACAGAAAACATCTCAGGAGGAGGAAGATAACAGCCCATCTACAAATTCATAGTCCACCATGGGTAAAGTGACCTCCTAAAAGGAAAGAGAAGTGTTTTGTTTTTTGTATTCACAGGTAAACTCAGCAAAGAATACTGGACTTATGGATTCCTGTAGAAGAATGAATAGCTACCCTGAGGACCATCAAACAAACAGTATCTCACTGTGTGGTATCAAAGTCTAAATCTCCCTATATTGTTTTTTCATAGTATCCTTTTATCTTTATTTCTTCACATACCTCAGTTCCCATTCATTTAACTGAAGCTGGCTTTGGAGTTGGATTGGCTCTCCTACTCTAAACCCAAGCATATTATTTAAATACAATTCAGAATTTCTGTATTATATCAAAGAGCCATTGATATAAGACAGAAGAAATAAAAAATGAGGAACTGTTATCTATGGATTTCTTTTTCTGAACAGTCTAATTTCCTCCAGGTTTTCCATCTTCCCTATTGTCACCTCTTCTGTATGCATACATATGAAAGTTAAAATATTTCTTTGTTAACAGTAATGTTTGAGTTTTTCAGAGAACAAGGGATTTCCTGACAGCAATCTTCAACTGCTTCCGAAAGAGAATGAGGATCCACTTCCTTGACTTCACCTGATTCGACTGGAGGCATCTGAATTGCCCCACATCATTGACTCCACCTGACAAGCACTATCCTGAAACTGGCTTGAAACTACATCACTCTACACATCTCCGGACCAAGAAACTGAAACAGCACATCTTCTACAATCTGACCAGAGCTTCAAGATAAGAGCTTCAATCAACACTAGAACCCTAGTCAGGAACTTCAATCAAGCATCTCCTGCCATACTGAGACTGTCTGATCTACTGAGATTTTGTTATACTAACATTTTCTTTTCACAGGTCCCCATGAGATTATCATCGTCCCATCTCAGCAGGAAGTAGTTTTGAGAATTCCACGCCCCCTCTCCCTACTATTGATATTATAAGATAGTTTACACCTGTTAGTGTTAGTTTTCAATTATTTTAGAGTTGGGATTGGAAGGAGGTGTTCATATTTGGGTGTTTCTTTCAGATAAGTTTAGGTTTAGATAGAAGTTTGATACATTTTGTTCATGGACACAAGTTAGTTGTCCTTTTTTAGACTAAAAGGGGAATTGTAGGAGGAAGTCTGATGCCGCCATTAAACATGTGACTTATTAGAGGCGCATACAGATGAGGTAATAAAAGGGCGGTTTACCACACCGCTAACCACACCCACTTTAGGCAGGACTAAAGACGTATACGTACGTAGGCGGAACTACGTCACTAGCCAGGCCCACTTTTGGGCATGGCTAGGGGCGTTACGGGGGAAGGCATAAAAGACAGCACACAGGAAGTCTCGGTCTGTTTTCCTGGAGATCGGCTTCCGGGTCGGCCACTGAAAACTGCTCCTCTGGGTTTGGTATCTTGTGAGTAATTTTCTACATTAAATACTTAGCTTTACTGTCAGTAATTGTGTGTCGCGTATTGTTACAGCGTCCGTTAAAGCCTACACCCCTTCCTTGGAAAGAATTGTAAACTTACAAGGAAGTTGGAAGAAGCATATTAATTCATAGAAAACAAAGTAATTCATAGGCAACAAACACACCTTTCATTCAGATTATGCTCATTGTTTGATTTTACCCCATTTGCTTCGCCATTCTCTCTATGGTTGTGTATGTATGTATATACAAACACTCATATTTTGTTCTGAAATACATGAGACTAAATCACATACAACAAAGATGCCATGTATTTTGCAAGAATAGAGATAGTCTTTCCCTTAACCACAGTTCACTATAACCTAACCCCCTGACTGACAAACTGACCTAATGTTGTCCTTTGTAGCATATACTAGACACATCCCAGACCATTCACTGCAAGTGGTTGCCATGTATTTTCAGTATGATGGAATCTGGAAGATTTCCATAGCCTCTTTTAATCTTTTATGACATTGACATTTTGAGAAATTCAGTCAACACCCTCCTTCATTTTTTAAATACAACATCCCTTATTTGTTAATTTCTTGGTTAATTCCTTGTGATTATTCTCACATGTGGATCTCCTAACACAATGTTCAATATATGGCATTGCTTCCTTTGCAGGGTACCTGTTGCTCTTCAACCCTCCGTTGATGAGGTTAATTTAGACAACCCAATCAAGTGGCTGTTCAGTTTTGACACCAGATAGGCATTCTTTTCCCCCTTTCAAGTATATAAGCAATTTCTGTGAGGATGCTTTAAGAGTGTGAAGTCATCAGCAACTTGACAGGATTTGGAATCAACTAGGACATTTCCAGAGAGATTCAACTGAGGAAAGAGCCAGTCTGCATGTAGGTGGTATCGTTCCATGGGTTGAGGTCCCAGGAAAAGGAGACAGCTCACTGACCACAGGCATTTATCTCTCTGCTTCTTAACCTCAGATGTAATGCAGCCAATGGCTTCATGCTTTTGTCACACGTCCCCCACCATGAGCTGTATCCTTAACCTGTGAGCAGAAATGATTCTTCCTTCATTCAGTTGCTTTTGTCAGCTGTGTCTTCACAGCAGTGAGAAAAGTAACGAGTGAAAAATCAGACTTAGGCTGCTCCTAGTCACAGTTTCTTCTAGCTTTATAATGCATTGATAATTCTTGCTTGAGCCAGTATTTGCTGTAGTAGTTGAAAAATAAGCCTGTTTTCCAGGCTCCTTCCACACTTACCAACTGGTACATTCATCTACAGCTCCTTCTATCTTCTATTACCCCCTACCATCTAGCTACAATATCAGCAGTGTCTTGGGTTACTCTTTTTCCCAATGGTTTCCAAGTAATGATGATTTCCAATTCATGACTGCTTAGTGGTTTTAAACTTGTGATTGTCAAGTGTTTTATACCCAAATTATCCCATGTTTGAACAATGCAAGTTTCTTTGTGTACAGGTAACACACCTCTATTATTTCTTTGGGCACTTTTTGATTTTTAGTGTATAAAAATGTTTAAATCTCACTTAGCACCTACTCTGTCTTCATGTGGAATGAGCCATCTCTCCAGGGAAATTTGATTCCTTCAAGTGAGAAATGGGGAGGATTAAGGAAGTTCATGAATGCCTGAATAAAAGAATATCAGATGTTTATTTGGGGAACACTCACAGAGTGAAGTTAAAGAGCCACCAAGGTCTTCTGCCCTGGAGGGACAGGATGCTGAGATCAGGTCTTAGACATCACCCAAGGGAGAGAGAGCAAGAGAGACCCCTCCTTTTCCTTGGAAGAGATCATGTCTGCACACAGAAGCCATGCCCTAAGACTGGTACTCCAAAACTATTGGTGGAACGAATTTCCACTATAAGACACCAAACCCTGAGTGATAGGGTTGCTTATATTCCTGAGGTATCTGCACTTCTAAACTCTTTGGGGAGAAAAAACTAGGAGACCCAAGCATGTAAACACACATTAGGTACATCCATGCATCACACACATATGCACGTAGTTATGTCGGTATCAATCACTGTATATATTTATAAACATACACACAGCTTAGACTGTATTAGTCAGACAAAACACCGGATATAAACAATGTGGGGAGGATTTATTTTGGCTGGTAGCTTCAGAAGCCAGAGTTCCAAATGCTTAGTTAGTTAGTTACATTGGTTCTGGGCCTGAGGTGCTACAGAACATAACACAACTGGACTATATGACAGAGGCAACCAAACTCATGGAAGATAGGAGACGTAAGAAGAGGAAGGGAACAAGGGGTAACCTTTAAAGGAATGCCCCCGTGATCCGCTTCCTCCATCCAGACCTCACCTGCTAAAGTTTCAATCATCTCTCAAGATAGCACCATCAGTTAGGGTGTCAAGACTTAAACACATGAGACTGTAAGGGACATTTCATATTAACAGCATGTTAGAAACCATGGATTTACAGTGATCCCATTACATTTATTCATGGATTTTTCCTGCCTTCTCTCATTTTGTATTTGTGTATGTCTTCCACCCAACTATCTAATCAATCATAGTTTAGTTTCATTCTTACTTAAGCACAGTGGCTCCTCATTCTTGCATATCAGTAATTACTGGATTTAGCAATTTTACGACTAGTTATTTATTAAACACAAAAGAGGCCATATGTGCATAAAGGCTTGTACAAGAATGTAGCAGCTTTATTCATCATATACAAATACTGGTTATAACCCAATTGTCTCAATAGAAGGATGGATAACTAAAATGACAGTTATACAATGAAATAATACTCATCAATAAAAAGGAACAAATTACCACTACACACAGTAATCTGGGTGAACCTAAAAAACATCATGCTAGGTTTTAAAAGGGAACAGAAATGAATGCATGATGTCTGCTTCTATTTTAGGCAAAGCTAATCTAGGACCAAGTCAGTACCATCCTTGCTTCTGGTGAGTTGAGGCAGAACAAGATAGTACTTGGGGAGGAGGGCCAACGAAGCTAAGATTAAGGAACTGTGTTTATCTTGGCCGGGATGTGAGCTATGTAAGTACATGAACTTGTCATAATACATTGGATTGTTGTGATAGCTGTGTATCTCTGTGTCTATGTATTACAGAACTTTGGGTGAAATGGAATGGAGCCTGCTCCTGTTGGCTGAAACTAGAACTGCCCAGCTTAAAACAGCTCATCCTCTTTTTTGTTTTCTTTGTGATTGCCCCTGCCTCATAACGGCCCAGACCCCATGGAGACATTTATCACTGCCAAGATCAACATTCTTACTTTCTTTTAGTAATTGATTACTTCTTTTTATCATTATCTCAAACCATATATGAGCACAACCTTGGCTGTAACTTAGCAGACAGTGATTTTTATAGACTATTTGTGTCTAGCCAATACAGAAGGATTAACATAGTAAGACATGAATGAAAATGGAAAATGTCTAAATTAACAATTTGAGGTTAATCCCCAGTTTTAACCTTTGCCTACAGGATATATTAAGACAAATGCAAAAGCCAGACAAACTCCCCTCTTGCTGAAGGATTTCTAATCTTCGACAGACAAATACCAGGTGAATGATGCAGTCATTTTCTCAGACCTTCTCATAAATTCTGGTGCAGACCACACCCTTCATCATATATTCCTTAAAAAAGGGAGATTGGATATTTAAAATACAAGTTAGAGAACAGGGCATTTGGAATAAAACAGCAGTTTACAATGGACTTATAAGATTACAGTTAGAAAGGAAGAGAATAGTCATGTGCCAGTTCCCCGGGAGCTCACAATTATGCCCACTGAGATTTGAGGAAAACTTTTAAAGTTGATCCCTGTTGCTATCCATGATATTTGTTAAGCAACAATTTTTAATCAATGGAATACAAGGAAAAAATCCCAGTTACAATGCTTAATGCTGGTTGTCACCTCTGTGGGAGTTCAAATCATCGAAAGATAAAACAATCCTTCAGACGTGTCTATGAAGGAGAGTGTATATTGGTGTGGGTGAGGTGGGCGGACCTGAAGACTGAACACATGTTACATTAGAGAAGCTGGTCCATGACAGTGGCCATAGACTAAGACAGAAGTGGCCTAGGTACTGGTGTCCATCTGTCCTAGCTTCCTGATGTCCATGACCAGCTGCCTCAAGTGCCTGATCTCCAGTCTTCCCTGACATGATGAACAGTATCTCCTCTAACTGTAGGTCGAAATTCTCTTTGGGACCTGAGCCCCGCCCCCTCCACTGCCAAACCTGGTCTTTGGCATTTGGCTTCAGTGTGGATAAGAATTCACCTTTGGGTATTGCACATGCCTTAGCAGAGAAAGGCTAAGTAAAAGTAAGGTGAAAATATCATATACCCGAGTCATGGGTCATAAAGAGTTTAAAGAAAGAAGACTTTTGATATTATGTAGTGTACTCTTAAGAAAAAAAGGAATTAAATTTGCTTCTTCTAGGTTAACAGCCTTTTTACAATTTGTACAATGTAGTCCTGGTTCCTGGAACAGGGAACCCTAGACTTGGAGACATGGAATATGGTGGGTAGAGACATTCAATGCTGCTACACCTCTACAGGGTCTGAGGGCATGCCAGTAGAAACTTTCCCTCTATAGAATATGTTACACCAGGCCCCTGACACTAAGTTGAAAATCCCACCTGGCAATCCCTTGCCTCTACCTCCAGCTTCCCCACCACATGAAGGGGATGCCTTTTTTAAAATATCGTGGGTCAAAGCAAAGTATCTTTCATATTTCTCAGGCTCCTGTAGTCTTCATAGTTTAAGCTAAATAAAATGACATGAAAGTGATTAAAAAAAGATTTGTAATTTTCTCATTGGCCATGGTTTAAAATCTATATAATTTGTAACAAAATTTGACTTTAACATATAACAAAAAGCTTATAATTAAAATTCTATATATGGATATATATGGGGTGTGGGGAGGATGGGTGTGTGATTCAACTGTTGTTTATAATATATGTGTGTGTGCGCACATGTAACTTGGATTATCATAGTCTGACTGTTTTGTGGGACCCCTATCTGGGATATGGTTCAACAAGACCTCAATACTCTCCTGTTCAGGGAAAATAGCAAGACATCACCCACTCACTTGCTTCAGTTTTGTTGTTGGAAGTTTTTGTCCGTCTTTTAAGTATGTCAATTGGTTTATGTTTTCTTTAATTATGGAGACAGAAGTGGGTCAGATATTTCTTCTGGCTCTGCTGCCTGCATCTCTGAGCTCTCTGCTTGCTGGATTCAGCTTAGCAGGGGTTCAGATGTCTTTTTCATGTGGGTAACATTACTTAAAAGTTTCCTGTGTCAGATTGATCCACCTGATACTGATGGGGAGAAGAAAGCAAACTAGAACAGCCTAAAACTAGACTGCGTTTATGTGACCTTTCTGTATACCTCAAAATTTGTAAGTTTATTGGGTATGTTTAAAAATCTGTAAAATCTATTCTCTAAAACAGGTTAAAACTAGTATAAAAACTTATGCATAGGTAATCTTAGAACCATGTGGCATGATTGCATCTTTAGGCAGCCATGTGGCTGGGTTGGAGAAGACTGATGTCATGTGATTTCATGGCCATCTTAATTAAAGGTGACCACATGGGCCTATCAAGGAGGCAACAACAGGTCTCCAAGATATTTTTGATTAGGATAGATTTTTTGTATGATAATTCCTGTCCTGCAAACAAAGTTTACAAAAGATAGGATTTAGAAACAGTGTTAGTTTAATAAGTTATTAAAGCTATACCTCCAGGCATTCACATGCAAGACTATACAAAGCCAGACTTTATAACATTAAGTTTCACCCAGGTGAAATTGACTTTAAGATATGAAGAAGTCATAGGGAACAGCTGAGGGCAGGAGTTTCTAAAGACAATCCAGTTGCAATGGTGGACCTTAACGGTTTGGGAGATGTTGGTGCTATGTCATTGTCATTGGAAAACCCAGCCACAATTAAATAGAGCAGGCTGGGACCTAGAAGGTAGGCTGTGTAATACTGCCCAGGTTGGGTCCAGAGAGCTGATCCAAGCCCCTTGGGAAAGATTGATTTCATTGTTGGAGGTTGGTTTTGACTTGTGTGGGTTATGGTTATGCCCACATATTTTTTCCCTCTTGAAATAATTTTCTTAAAAGGGTACTTTATTTTTTGAGAGATTTTCAACTTTTTTTTTTTTTTTTTGGTTTTTCGAGACAGGGTTTCTCTGTGGCTTTGGAGGCGTGTGCCACCAACGCCCGGCCGAGATTTTCAACTTTTTAAAGAGAAAACTTGGAGTTTTACAGAACATTTTAATTATGAAAAATACTGGAAAATATTTCAATTTAGAAAATGTTATTACAATGTCTTTATTAGTTTTCAATCTTGATACATAGGTTGCTTTAACAGCAGTAAGCACCCAACTCCTTCCTCCCAAGGCCTTCTCAATTCTCTTCATATATAAACTATTCAGGCCTAAGCCCTCACTTTCCTAGAGCCACTACTAGGTCTAGGCACAGTTTACCTTGCTACCAGACTCAAAACAGAGATAAACTCACAAAACAGACTTCAATGTAACTTTTTACTATTTCTTTACTTTAGGAGCTGGCTTCACAATGACTGCTCTCAGTAGTCAACCACCTGTGTCTTGTAGTGAATTATTGAAAACAAAAATGTGTAAAGTTTATGTCAGATCTCAGGATACTAAAGCTTACGCTGTAAGCAGTTTAAGAGTCTAATAACATGTTTCAAGGTGTGTATAAAGGTCTGAGCACATTTTTTAAAAAGTAAAGAAGTGTTTTGAGGTGTGTGAATGCAATTTGTGAGGGTATAAGACAAAAGATGGCTTTAAGGTGCTTAGAAAGGGTTCAGATTTCTTTCCCTCTCAGTGCTATTGTTACATTAAGACTTCAAAGCTCCAGTTTTATCATTAACCAATGGAGTTCTGATAAGCTATTAATCTAGTTCTGGTAAAGCACTGCTACTGTTGAATCACAGCAAGGTTTTAAATTTCCTTTGGTTGTTTTCTAAGCATAGACTTAAAAGTGCTTCTCGTCATGCTAAACACACCTGTCTAACCTACATACAGTCTGCTAAAAGGTTCCTGTAAGATTCTGGGAATTGCCTTGGATGACCCTCACAGGTCAGATGAGATAAGTACTGTTAATCAACAGCCTACTTTCTCACCTGCCTATTTCTGAGGGAGTGGGACTTCTTCCCCTTTCCCTGGTCTTGGAATTCCCTTCCCCCAGCTACCAGGTCCATGCACCTGGAAGCTTCTAAAGCTTCTTTTTCTAAAAGGAAAAAGAAAAAAAAAACCAACAACAAATTTTTTCTGCCCCTAATACATTATGTATCTGCTCCAGCACATTTCCAATAATCAAAGACTGCATACTGCTCCAACTGCTGCCTGAACTCTCCTAGCTCTAGACTCTCACTAAAAGCCTGGACAAGTTTTAAACAGCTGCTCTTCCTGGTCTTGGTCAACATTCCAGCTTTTTGTGTTCCCTATCTATGCCCCAACGTCTGCTGGAAGTAGTCATAGATGATTTCTTTGTTAAAATCATTTCTTGTCAACAAAAAGGCTGGGATGTGCAAAGTTTCAACCCAGGACAAATGGCTGAGGTGCCTATTTAACATATTAAAGCTGGACCTGGCTGCCAGGTTCTCCCAGCATCCCTCAGTCCCTATCTGTTACAGGGTGTGGCTCACATACCCTGCCTTCTATCTGAACTCTCTAGCCCAAGGGCTAGACTGATCTTCCTGACAAGGCTTTTCCCTATACAATCCCCACATTTTGCTTACAGACCTTACAAAGCCAAATACTGCAATTAGTCATGCTAAATTACAGTCTCTCTCAGTTTCCACGGTGGTGGAAAGCTTTTTTAAATTCCTTCATTACAGGAAAAACCTTTTGGACATTTATTATCAATTTGGGAATTATTCTAGCTGTTGTGCTCATCCTTCTTCTGGTCATCCTTTGGTGACTGACAAGTCACATTCGATCTCTTCAACATGATTTCTAGATGTCTAAATGTAAAAATTAAAATTAAAAAATGGGAGATGGCAAGCATGATGACTAACTACTATTGCTTTCAAAGTTCCAAAACTTTGACATTGCAGACCACACTTCTCCAGCACCTTTTAATTTTAATTTTTAATGATTCTCAACACTAGTGCCTTTCCCTTTGGGAAATTATGTGTGGACTTTGAAAATGGTGACCTCTCTAAAGAAAATAATTCTTTGGAGAGAAATCCCTACCACTGTGGAACCAGGAATCCCATGGTGCCCTCCTGATTACACCAGAGCAGGAAAGTTAGAAATTTACTAGACATACCTGACCCCAAGGATGAAATGCCTATAATTCAGATCCAGAGCCTGAGGCCATTAAGGTCAAGAGTTCAGTGATTAAATGTGGAGAAATCAGAATGGTACCATATAACGGGAAAAGAGTGAGACATCAGGACCGTCCCTTTTGGGAGTGTTATATGGTGAGCTGTCCCATGTAGTAGGACTAAGACACAGAGGGACACAGCTCAGTGCTTATCCCCTTGGGGAATGAAAATTGCTCTTAAAGTGTAGGATAGTGTCTGTTCCCCAGAAGTCCATTTTCCAAGGTCAGGCATTTGGATAAAGGGCTTTATTCCCTGGGGGCTTGAACAAAGTTCCTTGTTAAGCAATTATCATTCTTATCTCTTGCTAGAGGGATTTGTTGTCCTTCTACTAGCTTAATACTGGTGCCTATTGTCAAGGTCAAAGCTAGCTGAGATCTCAGGTCACACCCCAGCTCACATGTCTCATGTCTCCTGTTTAATCCTATGTGCAACTCTAAAATAGAAAAGGTGTATTCTTTTCTCAATAAACATGCTGGCAGCCATCCTGATTCTAGCTCAGAGCCTGCCTGTGCCCCAGCGTCCCAGTCCTGGCCACCCTCTCCACAAGTCCTCTTTGGGACCTGAATACCCACTGAAGCTGGTGTCCAGCATGGTTCTTTTCTCTGAAGATGTTTTCTAGCTGGTTTTTGGTCACAAGGAGACGAATGACTAATACAACAGTGATGTTCACATTTGCCTTACCCAAAGAACAATCTAATAAACTCCCTAAGAGATTTGGATCAATTGATCTATAATGGGGTCTTCATCTTGGAACTGACTCCTCGTGTAACTCTATTGCACAGGGAGAGCTAAGAACCACTACACATTGAGAGAAACATTCAAAACACTAGAGGAGTGTGTGTATAATCAGCACATGTGCTAATTAGTGAGCACAGAGCTACAGTCTTCAATCCTTAGAGTCTATCTTGTGGACTCTTTTTCCTTATTCTGATCTGCTAACTAAAGGAGGTCTTCAGAACTTACAACCTAGATTGCATTTTTCTAGATTGTTTACTTCAAGTTCCTACGGACTATTGAAAGCAGTGTGCTATTACTACAAATATTCTATAATTGAGCCTGTCAGGGTTATATTTTGCTCTTGAAGTTTATTTGGTTCTAAGTTCAAACAAGTGACATTTATCCATATTTTCAATATTGTTTAAACTTTATTGTTTGGATACTGCTACTTGAAAAATCTTGAGCTAACACTTAAGAGACTTAAATATGAATCTTTTACAGTTTTCCACTCATGCACTCATTCTGGCTTTATTTTTAAAGTTATTGTCCATTTGTACGCTAAAGAACAAGGGGCATTGTGAAACAAGCATAATCAATGTATTGCTATAGCATTAATTCTGTCTTGAGAATTGGGGTATTCTTACCACTACCATTTTCCCATTCAGCAGCTTTCTCTTTATGGTTGTCTCTTTACCGTCCCATTTCTGCACTTGTCTTAGCCATCCTCGTTCCAGCGTCACGATGCTCTACAAAGACAAGTTCTTGTGGTTGGCTTGACTCAGTTTCCATGACAGATGTCTCAATAGGTCATGTTCAGTCCCCACCCCCTCTGAATCCCAGAAGGAATAATCCAATGAAGGGTCCAGACTCTCACCCAGCCCCTTGCTTTGCAGCCATGACAAGCTGCAGAAAAGACCCAGGAAGAATGTAGGCCTCTGACTCAACAACATGTGTTGAGCGCCCCCTCCCCAGCCTTGCCCTACCTTGTCCTTGTTACTAGGAAGCCAAATACCCTCCATGTGGCTAGGAACCAATGAGGAGTTAGCTGGCGGGCTCTGTATGTGTTTTACTGATAATAGTGGAATGCAGAGCATAGCAACCACCCTGGGAAGGCCTCTAGGCATAGCAACCTTGCAGCAGCTGCAGCTGATCAACCAACACAGGACAGTTTGCCTAAACCGGAGGCTCACCAATCCTGAGATTATTGCTATGCAATTAGCAGACCCCCCAGACACTCCCCTTGCTCTACCCCAATGTATTCCCTGCCCCACTGCTACTCCAGGTCCTCCTACTTCACCCACTCTTTCGGATGGATGGAGGAACCCAAGTTAACTCATAAAATTAAAGACTTCGCTTTTGCATTGGATTGGGTCTCTTGATTTGGGGGTGTTCAGAGTTTGGGCAAACACCTGTCTCTCAATAGTTGACTGGAGCAGCTTTCAGAGAAAATATTATATATATTGTATTACCTTGGTTTTTCTGTTGTCAGCTGTGGTTTCATCAAACTCCTGGCCCAGTTTGAAGGAGATCTCTGTATTTTTAAAGGCACTTTCAGTTCTTATGGTCATATAATTCCCCTTCTTGCTGATAATCACAGTGGGCTTGGCCAAATTTCCCAGTTTTCTGTTGGCTAGCCCCACACCTGAAAAGCAAGGCAATATCAGATTGTCTTGGGCAAGGCAGCATTTCTGAGTGACAATGGTGCTAGGTCTTCCTAACAAGGGCTTACCATCATGTTCAAGAAATGAGTGAAAAAGCATGTTGGTAACACAAGCATTTTAGTGTGGTGCCTACAGAGTTTACAGCTTAAAACTGTTCATTTTGTCCACTTTGCTATGCCCAGTGCTACCCTCATCATAAACAAGTCATTTCAGATTTGTATGAAGCATTAAAAACATTTTAGCTTGTAATTACACACATTGTATCTGCTTTCAATAATACTGTCTCTCTTCTCCTTCTCCACTCCCCACACCGTTCTATATTTTCTTTGTCAATGAGGATCTATGGGCATAGTGAACAACACCCTTTATATCCTTATTTTGTACTTCCTAAATCTGCCTGGTGATAAAACACAATAAAACCAACTTCCATCCCCCTTTTCTGTCTGTAGTCAGAGTTCCAACACAGCATTAGCGACACTGAATTTGAATTCACTGTTGCAGACCAGTTCTTTTGGTCTCAGCCACTTTCAAATGTTACAAACATCTTCATCTAGGAGATGTTTCTTTTCTCAAGCTTCACACACTTACATGATTATTTAATAATGGACAAACTCAAAGCAAATAAAGAAAAAGAATTTTTAGTTTACATAAAGATTAAAATTGCCAATTGTGGTTTTCTAGTATTCAACTCTTAATCTTATGAGCACATTAATGTCTATTAAACCAACTTCTAAAATTCTAATATTTTCCCAAGTCTCCAATGACAAACCTGTGAAACTGCCTTCGAGCTCCATGCATTTAAATAGCTTCATTTAAGTTAAGTTCTAACAATTTATTGCCAATGAAGAGGAAGTAAATTTTATGAATGACACAGAAGATTGCACTTCAGTCCACACAACATTCCCCAGACGCCTGAGAAAAAACATTAGAAGAAAATCTTGTGCATCTTTCTTTAAAGGGATGTTCACTGTGGAGAGTTTCTCACCCAGAGCTTTCATGTAGTCATCAAAATGCTCACTGGAGACAAGTTTCCAGGTGCCTAGGAATTTGTTGCTCATTGTGATGAGAGTTCAGCACAGTTCCTGGTGGGATGCAGCAGATGCCCATGAGATGCCGATACCTTATATGGCTCTTTTCAAGGATACCCAAAACATGTGACTCACGCTGAGACCCAATGGGGAAAGGCAGAGACATGACTGAGTGATGAATGGCTCTCAAGTCATAAGCTGCCTACGGGGGGTGGGGCACATAATGTCTGTTTCCAAAACCAGGAAAATAACTCAAAGTATTGTTTGAACCTTCAAGATATTTTTGGTTGATCTTACATTCATAGGAGTGTTTAAGTATGATCTTGTGTGTGTATGTGTGTGTGTGTGTGTGTGTGTGTGTGTGTATGCCCATGAGTGTGTGAGAGTGCATGTACATGTAGGCATGTAGGCATCTTGATGATTCTTAACTCTGATTTTGCACAATTAAGATTTCTTAAAGGAAGGAAGAAGTCTGTGAGCATTGTAGTCAGAATCCCAAATATGTTGTGGGAGAGAAACAGAGGTCCACAGTGTGAGGACACATTCAGGGGTGAAGGAGGCTTGGCATAGTTCTCACATTCTGGGCAGGCTGAGTAGGCAGACAAGAAGGTCAGTCTGTCACAGCAGAGTACAGAAGTCGCATTCATGTGTCAGGATGAGAAGCAGCACTGTGGCAGCTCTTTGACCATCATTAAGATTCCCTTCCCCCCCCTCTCTGTCTCTCTGTCTCTGTCTCTGTCTCTGTCTCTGTCTCTGTCTCTCTCTCTCTCTCTCTCTCTCTCTCTCTCTCTCTCTCTCTCTCTCTCTCTCTCTCGACAGGGTTTCTCTGTATTGCTTTGGAGGCTGTCCTGGAACTCTGTAGACCAGGCTGGCTTCAGACTCACAGAGATCCACCTGCCTCTGCCTCCAAAGTGCTGGCATTAATGTGCCACTAATGCCCGGCTGATTTCATCTCTCTTTAAAAAGCAAGCCTGGAGATCTTAGTTTCTATGACAACTTTGAATTTAAGGCATTTAGTAAAAATCCGGGGATTTATGAGGAAGATGATTTCCCACAAAATATAGTAATGGGTGCTGAGAGCTCAGTATAGGATGGTCTCCATATGATATGCTTAGTTCAGATGGCCTCATGTCATCTGCTCAGCCTCACGAGAGATACACACTATTGTTGTGTCCAGTTTGACAATGAGAAAAACTGCATCTTAAAGCTAGGCAACTTATTTCCAAGACTAAAATGAAAGTCAGGATTTAAGCTGACATTGTTCCCCAGTGCTAAACTCTGAATCTGGGCTAGTATCTCCCCTCCACACACAGCAACACACACACACACACACACACACACACACACACACACACACGTATACACACACACACACACACGTATACACACAGACACTGACTGACATTCAGAGATCCTAATATCACCATAGCTTTTTAGCAGTACTCTCTCTTCTCAATG